TTCATAATGTTTGGCTCAGCAGACCGACCTGGCTATTCAAGTTGAGGTAACCAATGCTATCGAAACCGTCTTGCATGGAAAAGGCACGGTATTTTGAGTCTTTCGTCTACTGGAAGGCTGAGTCAGTCTCGTGCGAATACCGTGCGTACAGGCACTCACCACATTTTTGAATCTGAAAGCATACGCCTTGCTCCAGCACTGTCTCACTCCTGTGATATGGATTCTTTTGCAGGGCCATAACGTATTTTTGGACTCACATACAAGATACCCGTATGGTCTTGCCTTGACCAAGTCTCTTTGGAGGAAGCTAGTGAGGACCTCCACTTGGAACCCCCTAAGCCGTGCTCACCGGATCTTGATATTTGTAACGCGAATCCTGCAGTGACCCATGGCCATAACGCAATCCGTCAAGTGTTTATCGTAGAATTTGCTCGTGAACTACGCAAGAAAAGAATAAGTAAGTACAAGAAATCACCAAGGGCCATCATATACGACCAAGGGCCATCATATACATTTATAATGTGCATTGTGCAAGTATTGAAGACAGCTCTCCTCATAACGCCATCTTCTGTCTCACAGGTGGTGGTTTCCACACCAGCACTTTGTAGGCCTCCATCCATAAGCCTCTTCTCGCATCCTTTCCTTTCGGCTGCTCAAAGTGATGAATTTGGCATAGAGGGTTAGTCTAACTAGTCCCCTACCTCCATCTATTCCCCACCCACTTCACGAGGTGCCATCCGTCATAGATATGATGAACGGCGCCTGGTACAGCTTCCATGTTTCAGAGCGCCTTCCCCACAGCCCAATTACGGTCAGTTGTCAGGGAACTAACTCGCAATCCGTGGCCGATCACCATCGCATCATACGCTTGACGCAATTCACCTCCGCATAGTTGCATATACTTTATAGAAACTTGATACGTTGCTGATGTACCACTTATCAATCATCGTCACCTCTCCTGTTTCGGAGCGATGGAGCACCTCAGTATGGAGAACTAGATTT